GAATTCCCATCATTTGCAGATGGATTAGGATTCCATCCCTCTTGATCATTTTGAAAGTCGGTGAAGTTTAAAACACAGAAAAAAACCTCAACTCAATTATAATTTCTAGCTGTCAGGAAGGAATTGTATCAGTTCCATCTTACAGGAGGAAATCTGCGCTGTCTAGCAGTAATCAGTTCCATATTTATGACGACTTCCAACAAAACACTTTTTGTCTATGATTTGTATTCATCTTCGGACATACTGATTTCAGACCCTCTGTGGATTGTAATGTATAAACAGCCCTTTTATTTTTAAATGAAACTAAGAAACTATTTGGCAGGGTCACCACAGTTCTGAATCTTGAGGAAAATACACCAACTGCAACTGGCGTCTAGGCTGCGAAGCAAGCAAGGCAGGACACTTAAAGGCAATTGTGTCCGTTCAGTTTAGCTAAGAATAGGACATTAATAAGAAATATTTGAATCTAACAAGCATCATTTTTTAAAGGGAACTTTAAGCTTTTTTTTTTTTTTTGGTCAATTTGACAGGCATGTGATGATCTCATGGCATGGAAGTTGGAGACTGAAGCAGAGAGGTTCTGAGATTCCAATAAAATCTCCAACCATCTTAGCAAACCGCATGCATTTTCCCACTCTCAAACTGCATTCCCATTAAAGAGAAGATAGTTCTAGGATTACTTCTAAAAAAAAATAGTCAAGGGAAATAAAATTTAACATATCCTTCCAGAATGAACTCTGTCCCTTGAAGCTTACTATTCAGTAACTGCAGAGCTTTATCAGCAGGATGTCACTAAAATCCAGTCTTTCCAGAAGAGACACTACGTGTTCCTCCTCTTCAACTCTGCCTTCCTGCTGGGGTGCTGCTGCTTCTCTGGAGGACTTTTGTCTCATTTGCTAGAGATTCAGGGCTGCTACACTCTCACTTTTATCAGCAACATTATAAACCAATGCTTCATTTCAACTAAGTTTCACAGAGATATAAAATCATAGAATCCCAGACTGGTTTGGGTTGGAAGGAACTCAAAGCCCATCCAGTGCCACCCCTGCCATGGGCAGGGACACCCTCCACTAGCCCAGGTTGCCCAAAGCCCCATCCAACCTGGCCTTGCACACTGCCAGGGAGGGGACATCCACAGCTTCTCTGGGCAACCTGTTCCAGTGCTTCACCATCCTCACAGTAATTTCTGTCTCAGATCTTATCTCCATCTCCCCTCCTTCAGCTTCAGGCCATTCCCCTTGTCCTGTCACTCCCTGCCCTTGTCACCAGTCCCTCTCCAGCTTTCCTGGAGCCCCTTTGGGTACCAGACGGGGCTCTAAGGTCTCCCCGGAGCCTTCTCTTCTCCAAGCTGAACAACCCCAACTCTCTCAGCCCGTCTCCATAGCAGAGGTGCTCCAGCCCTCTGAGCATCTTCGTGGCCTCCTCTGGACTCGCTCCAACAGCTCCATGTCTATCTTATACAGGCTAGTTTTAGAGGTCTTGTAGGAAAAAAAAATGGCTAGAGAGACAAGACCTCCAACAGCAATGTGCAAAGAACAGAGGTACCAGAGGTTAGGGAGTAAAGGAGGAAAGTCACCTTTTACTGCAGCGTTCAGGAGGCAGGAAGTGCAATCCACCCCAAACCCACCTTTGACAGCTCCAGGACATTGGGCCTGCAAGGTTGAAGGTCTACAAGGTTCACTGTCCTCCGAAGGCAAAAAGTCAGAGTGAGTATCAGCACCTCCGGTCCTCTGCAGATCAGCACGTGGCACAGGCGAGCACAGGCTGGTTCCTCAGCTGCAGAAGGGCATCGTAGCAGTTCCACAGCCTCAGAGGCTGCAGATGCCGTTATGGAGAAAAGGAGAAAAGGTAGTTTACAGGACTATCCTGTGAAACAGCACAAAATTTCCCGTCAGATCTGGTATGACTAGGGAATTAACTGCGGTATTGAACACTGATACCACTGATCTCTGCTGAGTCTGAATGTGTGGAAGTGTGTGAATGTCCCCACATTTTCAGTTTTAGAGGGATTGATGTTGAAAGGACTAAATGCTCCGCAGGTACGCCGACAGGCAGAGGCTTCACAGGACACAGCTCCACAGTCCCTTTTCACCGCTGCACATCTGGGCTGGGTTTCATGACCAGCGTTTTGTTATTGGGCTGTGTGAAAGAAGGTGTTGAATGTCCAGTTCCCAATAGGCAGGTTCCACATCACAAGAAAAAATTAAAAAAAAAAAATAAAAAAATCCCCCTATTATACAACTGACACTAATTTGGATCCTCTTCAGAAGAGAGGCCAAGGGTTGAACATCATGGAAACAGAACTAACCATTCTGTGAACTCCCCAGAACAGACACATGTGTGATGCTGTGCTGTGGGAGACTTGTGGCATCTCAAAAAATATAGGTTTCAGATTCTAAGACTTCTGCAGTCTTCAACTTTCACCAACATTCAAATTCACCTACGTTAAAAGAAAATTAAATTGGCCTCCCCCACAAAAAGCAAACCACAACAAAGCAAACATCCTCCAGCAAACTATTCGCTTGAATCTATTAAAACTTGCCAAGTCAACGTTCCAGTCTCCACTGCCTAACCCAGCCTGCCAACAACAGAAGTGTCAGTTTTTTGCTCCTCTATTTTACATTAACAAAAGTCAATTGTGGCGATGAATTGCATTACATGCCAACAATATATCACATTCCTTCACAGCTGTTTTTTGTAAAGGGAAGGAAAAGAGCTCATCGGTCACCGACACCACTTCTATAAACCATACACATTTTAAGAACTCCATCCACAAAGGCAGGATGGTAAACTCCCGAACAAAATCCTGACAAAGTGGCACAGCACAAACTATCAATTCCAGGTAATAAGCCCAAGTGCATATGAAGAATCCATACATTAACCAAATCACAGCAGTCATGAACTTATTTTAATAGACTGAACAAAAGAAGTCACTGTTACGCCCTGACGAGCAGGAAAGCCTGTTACCAAGTCAGAGGCTGGACTTTGCTTAACATATCAAGAAAAGGAAGCAAAACTGCATGTTCTGTTTTCTCAAACTCTTTAGCAAAGTACCATCTAACTCAAAAGCATGAATTCCCCTAAGGATTTATAACTGATTTAAATAGAAGGAAAATGCATTCCTATAAAACCCTAATAGGACTTCAGCCTGTATTGTCAAAACAGATACCATAGTATATCTTTTAGTACAGTAATTTCATTATCTGTAACTAACAAATAATAAAGGATAATAATGAAGAGGAAAAGAATACAGAGCAGGGAGAACAAAGCCGATTACCAGACATGCATACAAAACGTGGCTGAGTGCTTCCTGGAAGCTCAAGTAAACCTCAAACTGTTTGATGTGATGTATACATGCATTCACATCTTTGGAAAACAAAAATGCTTACCACCATATAAATTCTACAACAAGCCAATTTTTAATTATACCTATCAAAATAATAATAAAATCCTAGCAGTTTCATTCAACATGCTTGAATCATGGAGACCACCTACGCAAATACAAACACAGCATTTGAATCTCCAACTATTGCCAACTATAAATGGGGGACACTTTTAAAAATAAATTATGATGATAATTAATCATTTTCACACACAAAGGTAACAATGTAACATCATGCAGCGGTTTTAAAAGCATCCCACTGTCTGCATTTCTATTCTGGTTAGTTTGTGCCAAGATTATAAAAGCATATTTTAATTTTAAAAGAGGAAGAGAGGAAGGTGAAAAGCTTCCATCCCTCCCTCTGGTCATTTCACGTAGGTATTATTGGATTCAAATATTCAGCCGCTAAATCATTACTATGGAACATTAACATTTTAAAGGGATTCCCGTGTTTGGAAAAAAGTGGAGAAGAAAAGGGCCAAAGGAAAGCCCACAAAAAGTTATTCTGTCCTAACACTGACAAAATAAACACTTGTAGATCTGTTCAACTGAACATAAGTGCCACCATCACATGACAGGAGCAAGTTTTATTTAAGTCAATGTCACAGGGATAAAAAGCATAAATATAAAAGCAAAACTGAGCGACATACTGTGCTTAGCATCTTTCTGTAACAAGCAATTAACAGTCAAATAGTTGTTTGCTGTTAAGGATTCTATGTCAGAAAATAAGCCATTGTGTACTACAGATGATGTGAAAGCGGGACATTTTAGTGGAAGAAAAGCGTTCCCAGAAGGTAATTCCAGCCTCGCAGGGTTCCCTCCATCAGCCACCAATGGCTTTGACACTGGCACCCATTGTTTCTCCCTAAAACGTCAGCTAAGATGCGCCTGCTCCTATTCTGTTACCACCCGTTTTTCTCTCGCTCGTATTTTTGTGTAAGCTGCAGAATTCAAAGTGGCAAATTGCTCCTCAGAGATGTACAAAGAACCTTACTGTTTCAACAGAAAAGGAAGGAAACTCATATTTTTGTTCCACTGTATCCTGATCCTCTGACAAAAGAAAGAAAGCTCAGCCCTGATACTTCTAATTTTAAAACACACACCCACAAAGAAAACCCCCCAAACCTTTTTGGGAAAAAAAACCAGCCTGACTATTACAGGCTCATCTTTATAGATAATGATTTACAAGTCAATACTCTGTTGTTAAAAACAGGCTACAACAATATGTGCAAGAAGAATGTTGTACAAACATTTTTATAATTATGCTTTCATATATTCCATCAAAAGGTAAATTACTTGAAAATACCTACAGAACCTTTAAGAAACATATACTAGTTCTACTGAGGGCCCAGTTGGCTAGTACAAAAGAAAAGCATTATTGCTCTTTTTATTGTCAGAAAGTTTCAAAAAGTTTGAATTTCTGTACTAATAACTTGAAAACTCTAAGTTCAGCTGCAGCCAATATCAACAGAAGAGGACAGCAGGCAGAGCCTTCTACCCTCACTCCTACTACTGAGGATGCGAGCTAGAGTGACTAAGGATGACAGCATCCAGTGGGGAGGAAAAAAGGAAAACAATCCATCATTTCAGAATGAGGTCTGCTGATACAACGTGAATTCTGGCCATCTATTTCTTATTTAACAGAAGTTGCAGCTAACACAAGTTCATTAGTTATTCACTAGTTTATAAACGGAATAATTGCAGATAACATCAGATTACAACAAAAGTTCTGTATCAGAGTTGTACAGAAAAAGCCTTAGGGAAGGAAAGCAGTGATGAATGTTACGATCAGGCTCATCATTGTTTCAGAAATAGTATGCTGTGTGAGTAATCCAGTTGGAACACTCTTCCTTTGAACGTTTTGCTGAGCTGTGCGATGTAAAAATAGATTTGTATGCCTCAGATTTCTCCTCACTGTCTGCAATGGATCTCTTCGTGGTAGTAGCAGAAGCCTTATTGACTTTTCCTGGTACAGATGAATTTCCATTATCTGACAGAGAAAAAGGAATAGAATGAAGCATGCGTGACAGCTTATACTTGATAAAAGTATTTAAATAAAGACGGGAAAAATATTTAAAAATAACATGTACAGAGATGAAGTATATACATTTTTTCAGGCCTACCATAAACATATCCCGTAATTGTTCCTAACTTTTATAGTTTATGCTCAAAACACATTTAGAAAACTTGACGAGAGAGGAATTCCTTCCTCCTTGTGTAAATCCCTTGCACTGCAATTCAGTATTGACAACATCTATTCCTCTCAGTGACAAACGGCTCTGAACTCTAGTCTTAAGAACCATGAAAGTATTCCACCACCCTGAAGTATTGTTTAGAAATTAGCTATCAAATGGCAAAAGCTAAACTTGCGACATACTGTCCCCAGGGAATCTATCTCCTCCCTTTATTCTTTGCAAAGTCATTTACGACCAATAACAATAGTCTGCATCATTTTATATTTGGGATAGGAAAACGCCCATCCCTCTGTTTCTGATACCATCCCTCTCAGTCTGTTATGTCTACTGCTACAAAACTCTTCTTCTTAACTATTTAATCTTCTCCAAAGTTGAAGGACAGTGCTTTGAAAAGCGTGTGTCGAGTCTCTTGTGCAAGAAAATGAATACAGAGAAGTCTGCAGAAACTCTACATATTTAGTTTAACTTCAGCACAACAGCACGTAAATAGCTTGTAGGGAGCCCGTCTGAAAATATACTAACTGATATCTGCATGTAGTCACAGGAATTGCATGTGCAATCCCAAATCATCCTCGAGCAGACCTTTTTTAGATTTTGGAGAATGGTGCTTTTAATGCCATCAATAGCTGTCTGGAAAGAATTACCAAACACTGGATTTGAAAGAATGAATATGTATGCTGCGAGTCCAGAAACCTTAGGGTGTCATGTTCATAAATTAATTCCTATGCTACTGGTATTCCACGTCCATGGATTTTTCTTTACTTTCCCTCTCTCCTCTTAATCTCTTGCTGGTCAATATAACTGCTGCCAGAAACATAAACCAATGACCTGACAATTCAAATATTATTTATTTTACACTCCTGGAAAAGAAAAATACACCAAACATTATTAGAATTACTAGGTTCCTAAGCATCCAAGAGCAATTATAATCATCTGGAATTAAATATTTTTAAAAGTCTATCCTTTATGGAAACAGACAGTAGGGGGCAGGTAAGGCATTTCTGATGGAAATTCTCCCAGCTTCTCACATAGTTCACATCTACAGTTCACCATTTAACTATTCTTACATTCTTCAAACAACTTACATTGACTTTTTCTGTGGCTGTAATGTACACAATTGAATAATTCACGCAGAAATCTCAGAGTGACTTTAAACATGTACTTGTTCTTATAGTTCTGTATGAAAACATCAGTATGAACTGGAGACATTAAATAACAATATATATTACGTAAAGAGAGGGCACCATCCTTTGGACTAAAGGGTTGCCAAGTTTACTCATAGCTGCATGACTTCTGTATCTCCATCAGAGCATCCTGAAGTTATATTCCACTGCTCCCAGTGACACACAGCAAATTAGCAGCTCAAATGCAGGACTAAAAGTCATCAGCTTGGGACATTTTAACACACTTCAATGAAATAAACCGCCATAAACAGATTTTTTGACCACTTGTACTTCAGGAAAACAACTACTAATTCTCTTCACACTAACTGCTAGCCAATAAAACAGATCTACCAAACCCTCGACTGCATCACTGCGTGAGTAAGAATCTCTACTCTCATTCACTCAAGCTGGTTCCACCAACTTAAAGCACAGCAATACTGGCATGACATGAAGAAGCAAATCTGGCTTGTTTCATAGTGAAAAAAATGCAATGTGGTGAAACGTGTTTATTATTTTTATTAGTTATCTGCATCATTGCAGCACTCGCCAGTCACAAGCGTGAGCGGAGACCCTGTTGTTTTAGGTATTTTGTGAAAGTATAACAAGAAGTCAGTCCCTACTCTGTGGGCTATTTACTCAAAGTATAGGATGATGGATAGCAGATGGGACAAAGGCAAACTGGGCAGAATAAGGAAAAACAGACAAACAGAAGCCCTTGCATGCTTTCTGCAGAGTCAGATTTGTAGATTTTACAGACTGTAAAACAGAGCTGTTTTAAGAAAAAGTTAAATTGACTACAGTTTCTATTGAACAAGGAGCTTTGTGCATGTTCATGAGGCAGCTTACTACTCCAGCTTGGAAAGGCAGCCTTTTAGGACAGGCTTTTGAAAGAGAGGGTTCTTTGAAAAAGTAAGCCATGACATTATGGCTCCCTTGAAGACAGGAGCTGACCTTTTATTACTGAGAAAGATAAAAAAAGGGAAAGGGTAGCTTCTGAAAAATATGGTACAAAATAGCCAGAGAAGGACCTCTCCTACAATATTTTTCAAAGCAGAACTATTTGTTCTCATTTTTCACATTTAGCTTAAAGAATAAACACCAACCTGAACTTTTGGTGAAGATAATCTGCCTCTTTTCCCCAGAACTGGAATTGATACAATCCTTTCCATTCTTAGCCTTTGATGGACCTGGACAATCTATGAAAGAAAAAGAAGAAAAAAAATAATAATCATGAGTCTGCTTCATGACTCAGAGGCTACACATAACTGGTAGCTGTGACATTACCTTCAGCAGTGTCTTGCCGAGAAGCTGGTTCTGCTGACTTACACTTCTTTGATTTCTGAAACAACACAAGCAGAAATCTGTAACGTACTGAAAGGATATACAATCCCCAACTTGTATTTGATAGACACACAACTCCAAGTTTTATGTCTTACACAGTGGAACTCTTCCTTTCACAATATTACTTCACACTTTTGGTATTATTTCTATATGGAAAAATAACAACTTTGGCAACCTTGATGGCACCTTAAAGAAAATCACGCAGGCCAAAATGCAACTGTCTGGAATGGGTATTTTGGCTTGTATGCTCTGCAGGGGGTGTGTGTGTTACCATCATTAAGACAATCTGATACTCTGAACCCACATGACAGGACAGTAAATTGCACAATATTAAACAGGACACAGTTAACTAATCAATAAAGACTTTTTCAATAAAAATTTCAGAATAATCCTGCATCTCATATCCACTTAATTTTATTTAGTTAATAAAAAATCCCTCCTGGGTAACTTTCAATAACTGGGCCCTTTGTTGCAGGGTTGCTTGGGAAGAAAAGATGCAAATAGTTAATCCAAATTTTTTAAAAGCATCTGTGGACCAGATTTTCCAAGTTAATTTATGTTTGTCCCGATTAAAAAACACAAAACCCCAAACAACAGCAACAAGAATGCCATTTACTGGCTTTGATTATATTAATGCCAAGCTGAAAAAGAAAGCTGTATTAAAACAGCTGTTGATGTTATTAGCACAAACGATGACTCTGTATACATTCAGAATGGTGTATGTACTTCAAGAAACCTACACAAACTCAAAGAAAATAAAGATATTTAAATGTGTTGTAAAAATTAGGAGAACCCATGCTGTCAAGTATATGACTAACACTTGAGGAAAAAAATGCCTTACCACATGTTGCTGCAAAGCTCAGCCAGGAGGTGGTGGCAGAGGGTTACCAGGCGGAGAGCAAACTTGCCTCTCCTGGTGTCCTCCAGTGTACATGAAAAAACCCTTTTCAGGGTGCTTCCACCTTTGTCATTATGGGTGGCTTTACAAATGAGATGTTTGTAAATATATGCATGCATATATTATACATGATGAATATATATTATGTATCCTTCATCATGGGTACACATAACATAGTTGAGCTTGAATAATTATTTATACTAGTGCTAGCTGCGTCTTCCTCATGCTTTGTGCTTCCTGCTCCAAAGGAAGAAGGTCTGCTCAGACTGCTCCCCCAGCTGAAAGAAGGAACTGAGGAAGAGGTCTTAACAGCAGTGCCACAGAGTCCAAACTAGAAACTGTCTTCTGATACTGGGACTGGAGCTCACAGATCTCAGACTGTGCCAGTGACAGCAGAGAAGACTGGTTCTACCTGCAAAAAGATCGGCTGGTGCAGCAAGGCAAGGCAGTACTGCAAAAAGGCAGCAGAACTTGAAGAGCTCTATGGAGAGATTTGCAATATATATTTGCTTGTAATATAAGTCCCCACTAAAAAAACCCCACACATATTTGCATATTCAGCTAAAGCATACAGAGGCCACAGACCAAAGTGTGATTTCCTTAGTTTGCCACCACAAGTGACTGTGCTGACACTGTAAGAGACAGAAGTGCTCAGCACACTTAGGTACTTCTTCATTGCACTGAAGTTGGGGACAGCACCAGTTTTCAGACTATTCCAAATTATCTGAACCAAAACTATAGATGCTTTGTTACGGCCACCTTCCTAACAGAAATCGAGTGCAAACAACCACTATTTTGGGGGCTGATTACTCATCTACTGAGAACTGCAACATTTTAGCATCAATTTATCTTTAAAATTCTTTCAAACATTTATTTACAAAGTACTGGGGGAAAAAAAAAAGAAAAAAACCTTCTGAAGAGACAGCGTAAGATTTACAGTATTACTCTTACGCCAGAAGGTGTGGGACACTAGGTGTAGAGGCTATGAACAGAGAGGAAATGGAACAGTTGGATATCTACGGGTAACCATCCTCTCCTTTTATTGCCCAGGCCCAATGATGCTGTATTGGTGCAGATGAATAAAGACCCTACGATGAGAAGGAATCACATGCTCGCTGGTAAGTAAACAAGTATTCGTTTCAAAACAATCTTGGAAAACATTTGTATGCCATCTAATCCTACAGGCAGGCAAAAATCAAGTGCAGTGACGGGTGAGATGATCAACCTCCATCTAAAGTCTCAGTTGCTCACTGTCAGACAACGATGATTCATGCTCTTGAGATTCAGCTAAATCTGTCTGCACTCTGGAGTGAGTTAACACTAAAGTTTTTGCTTGCTTTGTCATCCTCCAGAACAGCAATGCCAGTTCAGAAAAAAACAGCAATGCCAAAAAAAGTCCCATGTGCAGAACTGTCGTTTGACAGTTCAGTCCCACAGAACAACCACTACTTCACAGAGCAGCTGTAAGGGATGAGCCCCAAGAACTGTGAGCCTGAACAACACCCCGAGAGACATGACAAAGAGAAGTCGTGGGGAGGGGCCTGGTGTCACATCTCTTGATTTTGCCCTAAAAAAGTCATCTTGTGCCTTACTTGTTGCGCCTTACTGGTGTCTCAACCACTACCAGAACTGGGGCCAATAAACAGGGACACGTACATATCTGCGGGGGGACTCACTCTACGCTGACTACCCCCATCGGCAGGTCTGACGCTGGATCCAGGACTGGTGATCTCTCTATCTCTATTTCTCTCTTTTCCTCTCTCTCTCTCCTTTCCCTCAAAGCTGCTAAGTAACACAAGGCCCACCTTGATCTCCCACAGAGCCGCATAGCTTCGGTAGATCTAACTGTGAGAGTGCCAACATTAACAGAATATTTGTTCTCTGTGTCTCTACTGAAGTTGATGTCCATGTACAGACCTTGAGTGTTATCTCACCTTAGTTCACGCTAAGGAGATTTGCAAATCTTAGTTGCTCCCCCCTCCCCACAGGTGGGACGTGACAGCAGTAGAGTATATAGCAGAGCTGCAATGACTTTATTTCCATGGCATTTTGACTGGTCAGATTAAAAAAATAATAAAAAAGAAATGCCAAGATCTCAACAGTATGGTAGGAATTAGCACTCAGGACCACAAGAATCACAAAATATGACAAAATTTCCAAACAGCGCTCTTACAGAATCAGACCAGTAATCTACAGATCCCAATATTCCATTTCTGACAGTGCCCAGTAGAGGATACTTAGAGATCAAAAAGCTAATAACCTGCCATCAGGAACTACCATACCAAATACAGGAAAGATTTTGCCCATTACTAGAATTAACTAATACAAGGTCTTTGTTTCAAGAAAAACCTGAAGTATAAGCTGGCACACTGTTGATTTTAGCCACAGCATTGAATTCTATGATTTTCAGAGAGTTATGCACTGCCTGCTAGTTTCAGTACATACAACTTCAATATGCTGTTAGCAAAACATGCATGCAATCCATTACTTTTAAAAGTAGCACTGAAGTACAACACAACTTACTGACTAAAGCCTCCAGCCTGCGTAAAGATGAGCAGACAAAGCTATGCGATCTAAGGGCAGATGGCATTACAGGTAAGAATTCTTTCAATTTTGTTTTAAATAATGTATAAAAAGATTACCTTTTCTAATTTACTTTTAAGTCTTCTATCCTCCATTCTTTTCTTCAATACTTCCACATCTTCTTTATTACCATTAAGGATAATCACATCTTCCTCTTGAAAGGGAACACCACACTTCAAGAAAAAAAATAAAAGGACAAAACTAGTACATATTCTCAAGATCTTTATGCTGTTGAACCTTTGTTAGAATTAATACTACGTTTAAGCTCTCCAATCCTTCCTTTTGACGCTGTGTCCTGTCCAATAGTTCTTTCTCTTTTAACACAGTCTAATGTGTCTAACATCACCTAAAATGTCAAAGGGAAAACCTCAGCTGTTTTTACCACTGAGCAAAATAATACTGATTCATAGCATCTCACTTCACGAAAAGGAGAATAAATACTCATCTTACTAGTGAATTGTGAACTTTCAATATGTGAGCTGCTTTTAAATGGGGTTATCAGTCTGCACAGCAAATTATAAAAGAATTTAGAAATATTAAAATATTTTGTTCTTCTTCAAAGCCCTATTCCGTGTAATAGGGCTATGGAAATTGCATATTTATTTCACTGTCACTCACTATAAACAACACTCTTAACTATTTTTTTTTCTTTAAAGAAAAGGTATTTTCTGTTCATGGGTTCCTTGTTTTACTAGCATAAAATGTACAGTGGTTAGATTAACCAAGGTAGTCCTAACTAGAATCTACTCAATTTTCTGAACCCCATAGCCAGAAACCAGAACACTAAGGTACTTTCTGATTTTTTTTAGTTATGAATGTATTTGATTAAGATCTAAGCATCATGCCGCTCTGCTCTAGAATCTTTCAACTTAGCAATACAAGAAACAACTGACAGGAGCAGTTCCTTTACACTGACTAGGAACACCACCAAAGGTGTTACTGAAGAAATACCAAAGGTGTGAGTCCTCTACACAGCACCAGGGAATTTTTCTTCCCAACAGATAGACAGGAAAACCTGCTTTGCATTATTATTTGTTGTTATTATTATTAGACTATGAAGATTAAAAAGGAGTCATAAAAGCAGCATTATTCATTAATCCAGCCTTGCCTTCTCATTGTCCTTCATCTGATTTAGTAAATGCTACCAATTTCAAAGTACATTTATAAATTAATCTGGATAATGCATGTAATGTGCTTCATGTAATTCCACATTTGTTTTCTGGTTGAAGACACAGCTGTTTCACTGCACACATTTTTTATCATCCGGTGAAGCCAGCACATTGACTAAGAAGTTTTCTTTTCTAAGATCTCAATTTCCCTTTTTTTTTTTTTTGTTATTTTGTTAAATCCAGAAGCTTTCTGTTAATCTGCAAGATTAGTTTATAATCCTGCCTTTGTCATTACTCTTCTGTTGTCTAAACAAAGGTTTAGAAAGGTTACTCATGTATTTGCAGTAGGAATTAAACAAATGAAAGGACATATGGACAGTACTTTGACTACAGTCTGCTCAAGTGATGAGCACAGTTTAAAAATGATTCTGAACACAAGTGCTCAGAGATACTAAGAAGGAGAAGCAAGGGTTAGAGAGATGCATGTGAAGAAAGTCAGACAGAATAAGAAGTGACACACAAGAAATGGGTGAGAAGCCTAAATCTTCCCATTGCTACTCAATGAGCTACTGTTAGAAATACCAGCTCAGTATAATCTCAAACACTCGTGAGTGAGAAGTCTAGAAAATCATGACAATTGCTCTTCATACTGAGGCAGGAGTGACTGGTAGCTGTCTGGATTCTCAAGAGCCCTACACATTCATTTCTAGTGGGGTGTTTTCTGAATACAGCATGAAAGACCAGCACCCTCCTAGAGGCTAGTGATTTTAAAAGTAATTTCTGCAATAATTTTTTAAAACATACTCTGTTAGGCATACAAAAACAAGTGGAAGTTTCCTCCAAACAAAAGTTTATGTCAAAGGACTCTAATTTCAATAAATGTTGCATTTTGAAAAAGCAAGTAAATCCAGGTTCCCATCTGAAAAACACAGGTGGAACTGTTCTAAAATGAAAAGTATTTACAAGAAACAGGGAAATAAAGACAGTGTCCTCCTTCCACTCACTGAAACAGATAATATTTTGCCGTGACAACAGCCAGGTTACATCAGAGACCCCATACTCTTCCAAACATACTTGCAGCATAGCAAGTTATAGGCATAGAATCAACTCCACCTTCCCAGGTTCCACTAACTCCAGTAGGTACAATTTGTTGTTACATCATACACCTGCATCAAACATTTTTTAAGCGTCGGTACTATTGGATGCAAAGGTTTAATTCTGATTTTTAAAAAGCTCACTTATCCCTTCATGCAAAAAAGGACACATTTTTATCTCAACATTTTGAAATATGGAGATAAAAAGCAGAAAGAAATTTCAGTTTTGCAAATTCAGAAGGATTGTTCCTTCAGATTAAGGTCTTCTGGGGCAGATGTTTTATGATATCACAGGGTCTCCCTTGCTGCATCTTGTTTATATTGGGATTTAAAATACATATGAAGGTGCTTGCTGTAGTTCCTTGATGTTTTTGCAGCACCTTGAATAGATGAAATTCCTAAATGAGATTGAACTTGAGAACTATTCTGAAAAGGACAAAAGCATTACAACAGCAGCTTGCAGATCTGAATGCAAGACTCAATCTGTAATTAAAGAAGAGTGGGATATTAACTGAAGGAGAGGCTGGACAAGCAGCATAATTTTTGTCTAAAAGCCCTTTCAGGGTCCAATTACAAAAGCATGTTCGAAACTGTTTATATCTAAATGACTTAACATGCTTGCATCAAGGAATTATTTAAGGGGTGTGCAGGTATGAGCAAAAACTTTTCAAAGTTTGATACTTATAAATTTACACACTATACATATCCCATGTGTGTGTGTATATATATATATACACACACACACAAATCAACTTTACAAAAAAACCAAAAACAACCTGAAGACCTAAAATGGTAAGAACAGTAAAGGTATTACGAGCTGTAGAAGACATTAGCTTAGTCATAAATATAATCTTTTAACCTTAAACCAGTCAAAGAAATAGCAAAGTGACTTTTTCAAATAATGAAGACCTTTCAAATTTCAAGTAATTTTAATATAGTAGGATTACCATTAATTTTGTTAGCGAATAAAATACAAGGGGTTTTTTTTTAGTAATAATGAAATCTTAGTTTCAGATGATTTCCTGAATTCTGAAGTTTACAGTTTCTTCTTAAGTTTCAGCTACATAAAACAATGGCTGTACTTTATTTCTTGCTGTAAACTACTTTTGACAGCATTTTTTTTTTTTGTGCAGCATCTAAGATGTAGTTCCATCTATACTCCAGTCTTAATACAAATAAACAACAGGCAAATATGTTTTCATATCTAAACATTTACATCGATGTTAACAGTTTAATGTCTTATGAGAAACCTGAAACCTCTTTCCCAAATTATGAACAGTAAGTTAACTCCTGCAGTCCTCCTAAATATGACCATTACTAGGAAATGCATAAAGACATGAATACTCTTCCACAACAGTTCCCACCAGCTTATGGAACACGTGTGACCACAACCTGAGTGTCCCTTTTTGAGCAGGGGAGTATTTAGAAAGAGGGTTGAACAGACATCCTATTCAACCAAGGACCATATCCCCGTTCACTTACCAGCCACACCAGCTGATGGATTAAAGATTATTGTCCCTTGCAACAGTTAACTAAAAGCACACTTTGAGAGAGACTCTTCCAGAGCTTTATTCATTACAGTAGTGTAAGATTTGATGAACATCATTTTTGACATTGCCACGCTACTCAGACAGACAATAGGGCAAAGAGTAAATGATAACGTGGGAAGAGTGGAAAGTCCCCTACATCCTAACTCACAGACCGTGAACTTTCACTCAGCAGTTGCAGCACCTACTACAAACCCACTGTCCAAGCAGAAATCTCTATTTACAAAATTGGTATTGACTTTAAGGGAAGCTCTGTCTCTGCCATACCTGCTGCTGTGCCTGAATTTACTTTGAGGTTTTCTGTCTATTTCTGACTAGCATGCTATTTTTATTTGAATGTATCCAAAATACACCAGCCTTCTTAGTCGTTTCTAGAACCCCAAAGCTTCCTAATTCCAGTAAATTTAAGCTGCTAACTTTTCATGTATTAAAAACCCCAAGAACCTTTATCAAAGTAGTAACACAGTAAACATTCTGTTTTGGAAGGAGATATTTAATTTCTTCTCTTTTAAACTTGCTTCCAGCTACTAGAAATGACCAGAGGCAATTCTTTGCTATACTTAATTGCTGCAAATTGGAAAGTTTCAGCAGGCAAACAGTTAAGAACCAGGGGAGGAGGAGGAGGAGGGCTTGTTTCCTTTCTAGTTCTCATCATCCGGCATGCTCCGTTAGCAGTGCAGAGGTTAAAGCCTCTGAGGTAAAGCAATACTATTTATAATCATCAGCAATGTACTCTACATATTTGAAAGTCTGATTTCAGTCCTTTAAAGGCTCTCTCAGAAGAGTGGCAACAGAAATTTGGAGAAGCTCAAGTTTTCTCTCATTACTGTGAAGCAGAGGACATTTCTGAAGCTAAACAGCATTACTGCAGAATAAATATGCTAAGCAGTGCGGGAAGCCAGATGAAGTCTTAAATGAAAACATTCACGTTAATGTTTAAACCCTTTCACTTACACGAGATCTCCACACAAGCGACAGAATGAAGAATGCTGTCTGAATTCTGCTGAAGGACAATGGGACCCTCTAGTTATTTTTATTATGCTGCCGTCTCCTGGCTAATTTTGTACAAGGTAAGCCTGAATAAATTAGATTGTAGGAGTTCGGGTTTTTGCTTTTCCTTTATTAAAACACAACATGCTTTAATGTTTGTAAAGTGACAAATATTTTCACTTCAGAAAGATAATTTCACTTTAAAAAAAATACTCAAATCTCCAATAAGGGTAATAATTTTTTTTTTTTTTTACTTTGTCATAGATGTACCGTAAGGTGGAGGTCACTGCTACTAGCGTTGTTTGTATCATAAAAATCACAATACTTATGAATACTTGTTATGCTGTTACAAGCAACTTCATTTTTTTTACAGCCCTATAACATCATGGTTTAAATAGCTTTCACAGTATTTGTTTTAAATTGTTATGAGGTC